AATACCCCATCTGGTCACACAGTACAAAATACCCCATCTGGTCACCCAGCCAACAGTACAAAATACCCCATCTGGTCACACAGTACAAAATACCCCATCTGGTCACCCAGCCAAGCAGTACAAAATACCCCATCTGGTCACACAGTACAAAATACCCCATCTGGTCACCCTGTACAAAATACCCCATCTGGTCACACAGTACAAAATAGCCCATCTGGTCACCCAGCCAGGAAAATGACTACACCCGACTTCTCGGGCACAAGGTAGCAAGAACGGACAATTTTCACCGGCGCAAGTGACCGCAAAGTATTAAAAGTGACCATTCGTACACAAGAGAAGTCAAAAAGAGCCCTGACCTTGGCATCGTACTCGTATCCTTTCTCCTTTGTGTAGGTCTCCTCCACGTACTGCTTCGTTATCTCAATCATCATCCGGCCAAACGCCGTCACACTCTGAGGGAAAACATTGGCGGGACATTAAAAAAAGCCTCAACTCCTACTTAGTTTTAGTAAGTGTTTTAGGGCACTTGCAACACAATAAGGTCATATTAGAGCCGAAGATTAGAGGTGTTACAAGACAGCAACAAACACAAAAAAAGGAGGAGGAGAGATAAAGACGACAGAATATTTGATAGGAGAGAAGCAAACCACACCAGAGCACCCGCCAACCACCCACGGCCTCAACCCCTATTCATATATAATAGTTTGAGAGATTAAAATAATGTTACTTACTGTTCGAAAGATTAAGAAAACATTACTGACAAGAAAGTCACAAAAAAATACAAGTCTAGTAAATAATTAAATATACACATGATATACATTTTAAAATGTGTATTTCACATAATTTAAGAGAAGCCGCGTACCACTGATGGAAATGGAATTAAAGAAAAAAATCAGGATTTTATAAAAATCAAATCGAAGTTCTTCAATAGGATTGAAAAAAAGTAAAAGGGCTCCGATTTTTACTTTAAAAAACTTGTCAAGTTTGCAGTGTTGTCCAAATTCTGAAAGGTTTTGTACAAAATGTCCCAAAATGTATCCTACCTGAGATATTTCCAGACAGGGTAGCTTGCCCACTTGTGCCCCGGTAAATCCGTACACAGAGTTTGCGCTGATCTTCAAGGCCAGCTGGCGTCCATCCAGAACTTTCTGCTTGAACGGATCCGTCTCATTTTTCAGATCTGTCTTCGCCCTGGAGAGCAAGGGATATCATCAGTTTTAGTTTTAGTAGAGGTGTTACGGCGCTCGCAACTGCATAAGGTCATATGAGCACCAGAAGATTACAGGTGTTACAAGAGAGTAACAAACATAAAAAAGAAGAAGGGGAGATAAGGACGATAGATGTTTTATAGGAAAGAAGAAGCAAACCACACCAGAGCACCCGCCAACCACCCACGTCGTTCAATTGTGTGAAATAAAAACAAAAACAGGAAACAGTCAAGAGGTAAGATAAAACTTTCTATGATAAAAAATTGAAATATCCTGATTCAACCAAAGGGACCATCATGGCTGCTAACTTTTCAACAA